AAGCCAATATGAAAATTGGTAATCATCATCCACTTGAATGAAATATTTAATCTAACGGTCTGTTTTTCATAATACTAATCAACCATGGTGTTGTTGAAATTGAAACTCTAAATTTCCTACACAATAAACAATTACCTGTATAAAGAAGGCTGAATGACAATTACCTGTTTGAATTAAATATATTATTAAAGCTGTCCAAATGATAACATAAGACATCACCAATTTTTTATATCATAAAACTATCACGTTTATAAATTTAAATTATTTTCAATTTTATCATTATCAATATATATATATATATATATGAAGTTAGTACTTGTCTCTCTTATCTTTAAAAAATTAAGAGGAAAAAAAACAAAAAAACACTATAAAATAAAATATTTTAATCTTTTTTAATAAGTATTTATTAAAATAATATAATTTTGAAATAATATTCCTCTTGATCTTTAAGAGGTAAGGCAGATAAACATTTTCTCTATATAAACTATGAATACAATTTAAAACTGAAAGGTAAATTTTTGCTTCGAAGAGCTTGATTGAGGCAACAGACAATTAGTGCCTTATGCCTTGGAAATCCAAAGTTCAACAAATTGACGCAGAAACCATCTTGAGTCTTTAAAACAGCTCAAAATTTGAATGTCAAAATTCTAAGACTAAAATAATTGAAACGGAAGAACCTCAATGACCCACAACAAGTTTCTAAGTTTTCTTGTTCTATAGATCACTCTGGGACTTGAATAAAATGCAACTAGTTTTGAACAGCTCCAAGTTCAAGGAGTAGAGTGTGGTTAACTGCATTAGATGTCGGCCCAACGAACTGAATAGGACCTGCAGAATAAGCAAATCGAGTGCACAAGAGTCAGATACTAAAAAATAGTAGCAGCAGTACACAAGAAACTGGTAAATTATGAAGGTTAAAGCAAACCATGTTCTTAACCTACCAGGGCTAATGTAGCGATTATTAATGGCCCAGTCATTCCGCAAGGAAGCAAATTTCTTGAAGGGTGCACCTGCAGATTCATCGTGATGAAGAAAATGATGCTCAATTTTCAGTTGCTTCAAAATCTGAGGAGCATGTTATACAATGGAAACAAACAAAAATGTGCTAGAGAACAGGTGCTAACCGTCGAGTTCAACCATTGCCTTCTTGATCACAGGCTTGAATTTACCTGCAAAACAGATAAAAGGTGAAAACGATTTGCATTAGGCAGTATCATAATAATTCCCCCAAAATTGTGCTCTTATGAATAGTTAATGGAGACTTAAGCAACTAATTGGGAAGGGGGTAGGGCAACTAATAAACCACCATAGTTAAATGCTGCCTTTTCAGAAATAGACTCTGCTTATTCAAAATTCAACTTCAAACCCCAAAATGTAAATATTAAGGAGTCGGGAGGTCAAATGCATTATACTGGTTGTTTTCACCAGGATGGAGCAGCCAATAGAAACAAGAGAAGGAAGCTTCATAAAAATCATTTTTTTCCCTTTTAATGAGATCAGATTATTGCTTTACCATGTCTCCTTTCTACATCCATTAAAGCGGTCAGAGCAGTCCCACCAACAGTCCATTGTTCAACTGGGGCAGCCAAATTTCCAACCTGGAGATATTAAATATGGGTTAGTTAGCCCTGTTATAAAACAATGACAACCAATTGACAGAATATGCAAGAACTGCTAAGCAAAATGAGACAATAAGATCAACCCCAACATAATATGTAAACAGAACAAGAAACAGTTGCAAGGTGCTGGTAAACCAGAAAGCTGAGGCACAGACCGATGATATCAGCCCAGTTTTCCCACTCTGAAGGAGAACTCCAGCACCATAGCCCAATGCATAGCAGTAGGTAGCATCAAAGTTAGTTGGCAAACCACATCTACCTTCATAGCTGCAACAAAAACATGTAATCAGGACATTGGGCACAATCTGTACTGCCAGAAAGATACGACTGACATTAACTGAATGATTGTCACAATCATGAAGAATACTCTCAAGTCAGGTTCTTTCAAAAGGAAAAGAAATAAATACCCAAAAAAGTGTGATTGCCCCTTAAATTCGCCCAAATATGAACCCTCCTGCTTCTTCTTCTCCAGCTCAGTTTCAACCATTTGAATAAGCATTTTCTCTGTTTCTATTTTGGCAACCTAATAACAGGAAACAGATACAAATTGGCATCAATTACAAGCAAAGATGAGTGAATATCAAATGCACGTGCAACATTATATTGTACATACCTGGACATTTCCATGTGGATCTCTTTCAAGCAGCAACTGCTCTTGAATTGCCCGAGGTAGAAACTCGAAAAGCTTGAGAGATTGATCTTTAAGTTTCTTTTTCCACAGCCCATTTTCATCAACAATATCATGCGCCAAAATTTCATTGAGTTCGGCAATAAGCTGCTGCACCTGCAATAATACAAGAAGCAATGTTAATAATACATTGCTTATATCCAGATACATAAGCAAATACTTGGAATATTTGAGTTATGGATATGGCATCACTGGCAGGAGGCCGTAAGGAATCATTAAGAGTCAACTTGCCAATTGAGAAAAAATACCTCAGGTATGAAGTCAATTAGACCTTCAGGGATGAGGATGACACCATAGTTGTAGCCAAGATCTGCTCTTTTTAAGATTACATTCACTATGTAGTCTGTGACATTTTTCAGTGTTTGTTTCTTTGCAGCAACCTGCAACAAAGTATACCCTAGTTAAGTTTGCATTTGTTGAGAAAGCTCTTACTAAGTAACTTTAGAACTTCAGTATTGTCAACTAATCAGCATAAAAACTAAAACAGGAGAGGCATGGCTCTCTATACTGCAGAACAGTATCCAAGAAACAACCAGCATAGCTTTAGCAATTAAGATGGAAATGAAGAAACCTCGGCTATGCATATTTTTGGGCAACTAAATCAATTTCCAAATTCTTTCACTTTATGCAACTTCTGAGGTTTTAAGCAATACTTATTTTTAGATTATAGGAGCTACAATTTTTAAGGTTTTTTTCACACACATTCTCCATATGAATGATAATAATAATGATAAACTAAGCAACCATACAAGTACTGGCAGCAATCTTGCCTAACAACCATATAATAAAGTTTCTCCTAAAAGGTAACAAAGACAGGCCAGTACCTCTTCTCCAATGATGGTAATGTTTGGGTGAGTCTGCAAAGCACACTCCAGAGTAATGTGTGAAGCTGCACGTCCCATAAGTCGTACAACTGTAGAAGCAAAACATTAAATACTAATCAGAACTGAAAAGAAAAAGACAAGTAACAGAGAGGGAAAGATGGAGGAGAGACCCATAGGAATATAAGTGTTGCCAGCACTATTTTATTTAATCGAAAGTCTATGGCTTCCGTATAGCAGAAAAGGTACGACAGAATCATTTGGAAAAATGGATGAAACTAGATGGAAATTTATATTCGTTAGAATATATTCCTTGGGAATGCAAAATTTAAATCAGCATATAATAAACTTTTCATAAGTAAAATTATGGCCAGACCAGAGCTGTCAATGTAAATAGTCATGCAAGAAAAACAAATTAAACATCAAATATTGTTTATGGAAACTGAAACAACAAACACTCACAATGATAATATTTTCCAGTTGATCGTGCATCTACCATGACATTTCCAATCATTTCTGCATAAATCTGCATAAAATTTACAACATATCATGAGAACCACATATCTCAATCAGTCAGTGAGATAAAAGTTACTTGCATCCATGACAAGTATCTAAATTTGATCAACACTGAAATTGTACAATTGTTTATCTTACAATAAGTGAAGAAAGTATTAATATATGAAATAGAAGTTGCAAAATGCAAATGCACATAGGCGCACCTTGCATGCAGTATCAAATCCAAAACTTGTAGGAACCTCTTTGCATTTCAGATCACCATCAATGGTTTTTGGGCATCCAATCACTCTAGTTTTCATATTTTTGCTCCTAATTGCATGAGTTGAGTAAATGAAGTTAGAAAATGAAATCAATTATTAAGTTCAAAAAAATTGTAGCAAACTACACCTGCCCATTACATTTCATTAGTAACTGAAAATTCGTTTCAACAAATTCCTCAAAGCATACCTGAAATTTTCAGCAAGGAGGCATGCATTTGTGTTTGAATCATCACCACCAATAACAACAAGTCCATCCAAATCAAGCTTCAATGCTGTTTCTTCAGCTTGCTTAAACTGAAAATCATAATCAATTCTATTCAACAAATAATACTTAAACTCCAATACAGTACACAATCTTGTGAACAACAGAAACAGTCTCACCTGCTCTGGAGTTTCAATCTTGTCTCTCCCACTGCAGATCATGTCAAAACCACCCTGATTTGAAATAAATAAATGAATCATTTAGGACCTCTATTCTGTGGGAAAAAATATATATATATATATATATATATATAATACTCATGATCTCATAAGCAAGCAGCATGCACTCGGAACAAAAATTCATTATGTCATCAAACTAGAATGGCATCCATACATCTACCTCCGCCGTACATTTTCCTGACATGTAATTAGGTTTAATCTATTTCATACACTCAATGCCCCATGCCTCACCATCAACAAACGGTTCAAACCTCAGTTTAAAAAAGACTGGCAACTAGAAAGCAAAACCAGCAGACAATACCTGATTTCTGTAAGGGTGAATATAATCTGAAGTCAATTCTACATATTTTCCCTTCATGATCCCGGCAGGACCTCCCTTGAACCCATACAATATGCTGCCTTTCACATGGTCTTGCAAATAATCTACAACCACCATGTATACCCAAATCATAATTAAAGCATGAAATGCAACGATACCGAATCAATCCAATGAATGAAAATGAAAACACTCACCAAAGATTCCACAAATTACATTGTGACCTCCAGGAGCCTGTCCTCCAGACAGAACAACACCAATCTTCAGCTTCAGGTCAGATCTGAGACCACCCTCGGCACTTGGCACCAGCATTGCTGAAGGTTGCCCGAAAAGATTAGGAAACAGCTTCGCAATCTCATCTGTTCACGTTCAGTAGTAGAAATAAACAAACGAAAGATATTAACTTTGAAGAAGATTTAAACGTAACTAAGCCAAAAATAGTAAGTCTGCTTCCATTAAACCGAAAAGCAGAAGTTCAAAGTTCAAAAGAGACAGATCCAAACGGAGCAACGACTCACCAGGGTTACCAGCGGCGGAACTGCGGGGGCCATCGACGATTTTGAAGGGATTTTTGAGAACAGAAGGGAGAGGGAGCGACTGATCAATACGACTGGACTGGACCTCACTGTAAACGGACGACACACGTCCGGTGGTCGAAGCAGGCTTGACGGTGGCGAGGTCGCCATTGAGAAGCAAAGCCGGAGCCATCTTTCTTCTCTTTCTGTTGGTTTCACCTAACAAAGTGTCCGAACTCTTCTCCAGTTTTAGGTGTGCTGCTGCTGCCTGCGGACTCAGCAGCTGGAGCGGCCGTTAGAGTGTTGAATTTATATGAAACGACGGGAAAGGGCAATGTAGTCTTTTTAGTTGCGGCTTCGGAGTTTCCGTCCGGAAAAAGCACTGAAAGCCTACTTTTTTTTTTTAACCCCTTTATTTTAATAATTTGTAAGTTTTAATCTCTTATCTTATATTATAACATTTTTAACCTTTCATCTATACAAATTAAAGAAAATAGTCCTTATTTAATGTTAGGTTATAATATTTTATTAGTTCTGTTAACTTACTATTATTTCTGTTAACTAATTATTAATTTATTAACTGATTGTTAATTCTGTTAATTAATTGTTAGCATTTCATTAATAAAATTAATAAATAAAATTGAATTTAAATTTCATTTTTTTTATAACGGAATACTAACAGTCAATTAATAAAACTAACAATCAACTAATAGGACATTAAATAATGGTTATTTTATTCAATTTGTATAGATAAAAGGCTAAAAGTGTTATAGTATAAGATGAGAGACTAAAACTTATAAATTTATTAAGATAAAGGATTAAAATAGATTTTTACCCGTAAAGGTAGGTGTCTCATCGAGGAAAGGTGGATGATGGATCGGACTACCATTTTAATGGGCCCCGTGAAAGTAGATCTTGGCCCTGCCCACCAAACACTCGCACGGTTGGTGAGCGCGTGCAAACGGATATTCTTTTCATGTACTCTTGAGCTTTATGATTTATGCTTTTAAGGTGCATTTTTGTAGAGGTTTGCATTGTTAAGATTCTTGTCACATTATTACTTTGAGGGGTTTAATTCATTAATAAATAAGGTTTGTGTTGTAATTTAAGTTTAAATTTAAAGTTTAGGTTAATATTAAAAGAAATTAATTATTTTTAAATGCATCATATTAAAATAAATAAATTATTTTAAATGTATCATATTAATATAAGAGATTTAAAAAAAATTAATTTTGAAATATATAAAAATTAATTTAAAAATATATGTAATTGTAAAAATAAAAAGGAGTCATATTATCTTCTTCTTTTTTTTTTTTTAAACAAAAGGCAATGCAAGAGTCATATTATCTTATTAAGTCAATCTACATGTTAAGACCAAAATAAAACTCTTTAATAAATTATATCAATCTTATATTTTATATTTTAAAAATTAAAGAGTTTTTTTTTTTCTTTTGTATTAAACTCTTGTATTTGGAAGTTATATTGGATTTCGATTAATTCATAATCGAATTGTGTTTGCCCTATAAAAAAAAAAAAACTCTTTTAATACTTATTTTTCTATTCACAAAACTTAAATTCAAGAATTTATTTTAAAAAAATTAAATTTATTCTATTTAAATCAATAAATCATTGATAAAAAATTAAAGAGTGTTAATGCAATTTTTTTTTTAAAAAATAGAAAGATTTGGAGATCGTCTCATTTACGCCGGGGGCGGGGGGGGGGGGGGGGAGGGGACAGTTTTGGAAACTAAAATGTTACTTCAATCGGAGATACCTTATGGTACATAAAAAGGAGGAACATTGAGCCATAAATTATATATCACGTTTTTATATTAAAAATTGTGAAAATAAACTTGCTTTTTGGGATTGATTTAATTGTTTTAGTTGTAACTTAAAATAAATCAATGAAAAATAAACATGTGACATTCATGATTTAAATTAAAGATGAATTAATTGTACACCTATAAATTATCACCAAACATATGCTTTGTTGTCACTTGTTAAAAGGATTTCTGCTTTTTTCTTTTTTGTTTATTTTTATATCTTTACCTTGTGTATTTATTGGCTATAGTTTAATTCATAAGGGATATAAGTGTTTACATCCTCCTACTCAAAGAATATATATATCAAGGCATGTTGTCTTTGATGAATATTTTCTCCCATACACTAATCTTACAAAACTTTCAAGCTATACTTGTGTAGATGGGGAGCTTTGTACTTCTCCAAATTATGATGAATGGACACGCACTCCATCTGATCTTCAGCCTTCAAGAAAATTGGATGAACTAAACATAGCACTTATCTCTACTCAATGTTTGACTATTTTGGATACAAGTCTATAAGATAATGATGAACCAAATAGTAGCAACAATAAATGCTGAAGAGGGACCTAGACCTAATCAAGGAAATATACCAAACCAATGAACATCCAAGAGGGCCCTGGATCAAATCAAGTTGCAACCAATACTATAGAAACTGGGAAAACTGATTCTCATTTCTTACATGAAATTCCAGTCAAAAATTGTCAACCTCAATCAGTACAAGGAATGGAGAATTTGAGCCAAGAAGAGGTGCCATCACCATCTCATAATGACACTTCCACATCCACTCACCCTATGGTGACTAGAACTAAGCTAGGAGTGCACACGGGACATGTCCAAACCAAATTTCCCAAATATACTCACTTTATGATTACTAACAATTCTTCCTTAAACAGTGTAGGCTTGGATATTCAAGAACCTGAAACTATCAAGAAAGCATTACAACTTCCACAATGGGTCAATGCTATGAAAGAAGAACTTGCTACCCTTCATAGAAACAACACATGGACCTTGGTGCCTCCACCATCACCTTAAACAAATATTGTAGGGTCCAAATGGGTGTTCAAAACAAAGCTTCATCTTGATGGAAGTCTTGACAGATTCAAAGCATGACTAGTGGCAAAGGGATTCTCTCAAATACCAAGAGTGGATTTTGATGAGACTTTTAGTCCTGTGCTCAAACCAACTACACTTCGCTTGGTCATTGCGATTGCAACAACCCTAACCTAGCCACTTAGACAATTAGATGTGAAAAATGCCTTCCTTCGTGGTAAACTAAAAGAAAAAGTATACATGACTCAACCTTTAGGCTTTGAAGATCCACAACACCCAGATTATGTCTGTAGACTCAACAAATCCATCTATGGCCTTAAACAGGCGCCAAGGGCGTGGTTTGATACCTTCACTTTCCAGCTTCTGAAAATGGGGTTGCATTGTAGCCGAGCAGATTCCTTTCTTTTTGTTCTTCATAATGACCAAGATACTGCCTTACTTTTATTATATATTGACGATATTATACTTATGGCAAGTTCTTCATCATTGCAGCAGGACATCACTAATACTCTAAGTGGCCAATTTGCTCTCAAGGACCTTGGATCCTTAAATTATTTTCTGGGCATTGAGGTTACTTGATTTTCAGGAGGTATATTTTTGTCACAGGCTAAATATGCGAAAGATGTACTTACTCAAGCATCCATACTTAAAGCATCAACGATTGCTACATAATGGTAGTTAAAGCTACATGCACTCTGCATGATGATGAATTAGTAGATGTACAAGAATACAGAAAACTAGGGGGTGCACTCCAATACCTCACAATCACAAGAATTGATCTTTGTCATGCTGTAAATAAGTTTTGCCAATTTATGTAGCAGCCTACCTTTGCCCACCTTGCATCTCTTGGTCTTCCAAGAAACAACCAACAATAGCTTACTCAATTGCTGAAGCCGAATATCGAGCTCTAGCATCCACAACATCAAAAATTGTTTGGATTACTTATTTGTTGCGTGACATTGGTATTTCCCTGCCTCATCCATTGCAAATTTTCTTAGATAACATCAGTTCTTTACATACGACTATTGATCCTATGTTTCATGCTCGAACAAAGCACATAGAGTTGAATTATTATTTTGTTTGTGAAAAAGTTGCACTAGGCACATTAGTCACTAGATATATCCCAAGTGGTGATCAACTCCCAAACATTTTAACTAAACCTCTTCCTCGTACGCAATTCCAAAAGCTAGTGTTCAAACTAGGGTTGTTGCCTCACTCCACTCCAATTTGAGGGGGAGTATGATGGATGAATCAAAGCAAATAGATATGGCAAGAAAGGAAACAAATATCAGAGAACAGAAAACCACTCAATTCAAAGCACTATCTAAGGAATAACTAAGGCAATGGTCATATGCATAAGTTTTGGCATGTATTTAGGATCTGAATATGTATTGTAAATTATATATACTGATTTCATTGTACACAAACCTTAAGTTGAATACAATATAGTGTTCCCCGCAATTCTCTTGAATTCTTCAAGTTTCTCCTTCAAGGAAGCTGAGAGCTCGTTCTATGATTGATTCCAAAAATGGAATTAGGAATATTATATCAATCCTTTATTTTCTTCATGATTTCATGAATAAGAGCTATATATAGTCAGACGTAAACAGACAATTGTAAAAAATGGAAACTTGCTACAGAAATCTTAGGAGAAACCTTCGAATACTAAGAGGGAAACATGCATCTACAACAATTTAGCAAAAAAGAAACCTTTGAATTCGAAAGAATTAGTTAGAGGAAGTAATGATCATAAAGAGAAAAAAAATATAAAGGAAAGTGATATTTGAATTTGGCCTTCAAAGAATAGCTACTCGATCTAAATGCTGTTGTCACAAAAGAAAACATTGTTAGGAGTCCTCTTGACGCTTAAGTCAACTGGGGATTCCAGTGAGGTGTAAGTCGGAAAAGAGGAGAGGAAGGAAGGGAGAAGAGTTTGAATTTGAAATTTCTTGAGAAGTATGCAAGAGTCCCCTTTTATGGTGGTTCGGTGACATATCTACTAAAGATAAAAATCCGCTAAGTTTGTACAGTTGTTGAGTCTAACCTATAGAATAGTACAAAGACAGATATGACATGTCATGTGGCAAGGCCGCAGGGGACAAAGGAAACCCGCCTATAGAAGGGGTATTTTGTAGGGGCCTTGCTTGCCCTTTATTCTTAAAAGACAGCTTAACTAGGGTCCAAGAGCTATGAATGAGTCTAGCTTGTTCAAGTTCTCTTAAAAGAGCATTCGTATCGAGAGGCTTAATTCAATTTTTAGTTTATTAATTATTAATTTAATTTAATTTTAATTTAAAATTTTATTTTTTTAAATAATTTATAAATTTTGAAAAATATTTTAAAATAATTTATTACACAAAATTTTGTTAAATTTAATGGAAAGAATAATCTTTAAAATTTTGAAAAAGTAATACTATAGTCCTAATAAAATGTAATAACTCAAGAAATATTTTATAAAAAAATATTTTATAGGGATAGATTAGTTAGAATTTGTAATAAACTTGAACAACTAATTCAATTTAAATAAAGAAACTTAGTCAGTTTAAAATGAGAATTTTTAAGAATAAATCTGTTTTACAGGATAGACTGTAGGGCACATTGTATGCAGTTTATCTTGTAAAATTATTTAAATTTTTCTGAAAAAATAATATAAAAATAAAATTAAGAGTATTTAAATAATTTTATAGGACGAACTGCATACATTCCACTTTGTAAAGCAGTTTTCTAAAGAACATATTTAGCAAAATAAGAATAATAACTATTTTTGCGATGAATAAATTCAAAGACCAAAAGATCAAAAAAATAAAATTAGAGTACTAAATATTTTCTTATTCTAATTTTTGTTAAAGATAATGCATATTTCCATTAAAGATAATGAACTAGATAAAATTGAAATAAATTTGAAAGATAATAGATAGGATTGGAAGAATTCAAAGATAATAGATGAAACTAAAAAAGATATGAAAGTTAATAGATGATTTGTTAAATTAACCGTATTTATTGAGATTTTCTTAAACTTGTTTGAGCTATGAAATGAGTTTACATAGATTAACAAAATTATGTTATGTGCAGGTTGCATGTTTTTTTTTTTTTTTGATGAATAAAAATATTTTATTATGGTGAGAAGTATAAGGGGTACTCTACTCACAGTCTTCATGAGATATTACAAGAGATCACCTAAGAGGACATTCAAGAATTAAAGCTAAATAATATAAAAAAACATGTATTATGTGCAGGTTGCATGTTGAATAATATAAAAAAACATGTATTAAAAATTTAGTTGGGTTAGATATAATTATAAATTTCTTGTAACTATATAAACATGTAAATATTTGTTTAGAATACAAAAAGTTATTTCCACTCGTGTCCCTCTTTCTTGCCAACTTCTTCAACAATCTCAAACGTTACATAGGACTTAATTTAAAAACAAACATACACATACACACAATATAATCAAATAGTACATTATTCACCAATAGTACTTCTAAAACGAATATGTGTGGAGTTTTAATCATAAAGATAATTTTCAGATAAAAAAATATTCATCATCATATCCGTCGAGGAAGCTTTTGACCAACTCAAATATGCTGATGAAAGCACTCTTGAGGTATGCGATATACAAACCAAATTGTACAATCGCATAGGCGCTGACTGGTAGGAATGCAGCAGCGTAGGTCAGAGTCGTAGTCCATGCTTTCTTCAAATGAACGGTGAGGACAATGGTGGCCGTGAAGGAAAGAACGGTGGTTGCAATGGCGAAGAACAGGCAGGTGAAGCCAAACGTTAGTTTCCGGGGTATGGTACTATGAAAATCTCTCAGATCAAGCGATGATGTGAGAACGGAAAGGAAGAGCACCACCGACGTTAATGAGCTCGCCAGTCCGGCCACGTCCATCACAGTGAAAAAAGAGTACAGAGGCTTGTCCCCAAAGACTGGATTCCCGTTATCTTAAAACAAATCAAAGAAGAAAAATTTTTTTTCATATGGCAGCCTGTAAATGACAAATTAGATTTTTTTTTTTCTTCGTAAGGAGAAGAAAAAAAGAAGTTTAGTTAATTACCTCTGAGACCACCTGGGGCGGTGAAGGCGGCAGCGAAGACAACCGTGGCGACTAGGACTGCCACGGTGGAGCATGACTGAGAAGTGTTCTTAACCCATTTTTGGGCCTCTTTCAGTTGTTCTTTGTGCTCCTCTTTAAACAGTTGCTCCGCCGTATGATTCTCGTTGTTGAGGTGGATTGTGTAATGAGGAGGAACCATTTTTTCCACCTTCTGCGAAATCACAAAATGAATTCTAAATTTTTTAAAAAATATTTAGTTCACTTGTTAAAAGTTTGTTTGGTTTGACTGAATTGGAGCAATACTATTTGACCTATCAAATTATTTTTAAATGGTTGAAATAGTCTTTCCTTGCTCCTCTTGATCGTTTCCTCCACTTATTTTCTCTAAAACCTTAGTTAATGAATTTAGAGAAGAAATTGATGGAGGCTTACTCTGAACCATCTCAGCTCCTCTTGCAGTTCCAGAGCCGCCGTCGATGTAGTTCCTCCATGGTAGTATTTAGCACAGGCGGCTTTATGCAAAATGGTGTCACCGTCATTGTCGATCCCTAAAACCAGCCTCTGCTTCACCACTTTCCTCACTTCTTCCTTCCCCGCCTTGATGCGTTCAAAGATATCGTTACGGTGTAGAATGGCAACGTGCAGAATGTTCTGTCCATTCCTGGTAACATGCTCCAGTGCTTGAGGATACACTTCGATAATCTCATTCACAATCTCCTTGATCCCTGTGCTGGCGGCAATAATCAATGGAGTATCCGGTCGTTCCTCGATGGTGGCCGCAATGTCAGCACCGCCGGTTTGGGACGACGCCTCCCCTTTTTTTTTGTCTCCTGAAAAACGAATAATGGTGTTTTGCCCTTCTAAGTTGCAGTGCTCACGCCTCGATGAAGAATCCATCTTTACCAACATCTTGGCCAATTTAACTGCGAACTCATGCCGCTTCTTCGTTTTGCCTATTTCGTTAATTAAATTCCACCCTGGAAAGAAACAAATTTTAATTAGAAATTCATAGTAAATTCTAAAAAGAGTTCAAAATAATTGATTAATGATATTACAAGATTGCATTTACTGTTTGGATAACAAAATACATTTTTGTTTGCAAATTAGCAGCATGTTTAGATTGCAAATTATAATAAGAGTATTTTTGGGTTCTTTGTGTTGAGGGAAATGGGGGAAAGAGAAAGAAGGGAAAGAAATTTCCTTTGTGTTCCCTTCCCTCCCCTTTTCCAATTTTCCTTAATCCTGGTATTTATTTTATTTTTATTTTATTTTGAGTTGGACAATATAAAGCATCCATTTTCAATCTCTTAACTTATTCTAATCACATGTTATGCAATTTGAGTTCATAATGTTTTATTTTAAAATTACCACTTACCTATTTAAGTTGTTAACTTTTCCTTAATCTAGTTATTACGTTATTAGAAGGCAACTTGATTGTGACTTATAGTCTCTTTAGTTTGATGTATGGGGAGAGAAGAAAAAATTATTTTAGTTAAACAAATTATTTTGTTAGCACAACCATTTAATTTAATATGTCAAAATAAGGTCATTTCCCTTTTCTTTAGTTTTTCTCAAACCAAATAAGCTATTAAAGTAAATAAAGAAACTATTGGGGTGCATACCTTTAGCTAGACTCAACCAAAAGCGATCGTACATACGTAAACCTGCATTAAGGAAAATTTTGCAATTTCATTTATAGCTGCATGCAACTCCCTTTACAAGCAGCATAAATGATAGAAATTAATACATACTTATATTCTCTGTCATTGGTCGATGGTGTTCCCTAGTCTTGCTGCTCTGACTTGGTACATGCTGATGAGTTTCATCTCTATAGGGTAAATTGCCTGGAATAACTGAAAACAAAAATGCCAAATAGAGTCATTGATACTGGAATTAATGTGTTTTTGTTGCCTGTATGATTGTAGTTTGCAAAGAACTTACATCTATATATAATTTCCTTTAATCCATTCATTTTGGGAGAAGAACTTTTGAAAGCAGTTGGCATTCTAGCGAGAATTTGAAGACACGTCTCCTCTAAATATTTCTGCATTGCCAACTCTGGATCTTTGATTAGTAGCCAAATAGCTGTCTCTGCATTTAATAGAGAATTATCATGCATTTCCCATAGGAAAAAGAAAAAATGTGTTTTGTAATTGAGATTGCCTAAA